ATATATATGCAGGACCGTATTTGTTCAGGAGCATATTTCGGTACTGCAGTTCATGAACACATTATTAAGGGCACGTATTTCGGGAACGCATATCAGGAACACCTATTTTTAGGAACGGATTTCGGGAACGCTAAATAAACGCTTATTGGCCTTAACCGGAATGCCAAATGTTCTGCCCTATCCGTTTTCATAATAGTACCACGAATCATGATCAAAACCACAGCTGGACAAAAAAGAACTTTGAATGAAGATGCTACACTTGCCTCTTACAGCACGGGCCAGGACCCTGCCGGGCTTCCCTTGCCTTTTGCGACTTTCGCGCTTTGTTCACCAAGCTCTTCACCAAGTTTACCAAGTTCGTGAAGGTTGAAGCTAGTGGTGCTGGTGGCGTTGGTGGTGACTACTGCTTTACACTCTTGACCTTGATGTCGCCGTCGTCCGTACCGGTGTCGAGGAGGGCAAGAAAACTCGTTTGAGAAATGGGTGTGGTGCCATCGGCACCGAGGACCATGCACCCACAAGGCGACAGCTTCAAGAAACGAAACTGTCGTGACTGCCCCGAGTGCTCTGAATCCAAGGAGCGTCCCGTCGCCAGGTCTGCACTCGTGAAGATCGTCGCAGCACCATCTCAAAGGACAAAAGAGAGCGGAAAGTCCCGGGGCAGCTGCAGCTTCTCGACAACGGAGACCGGGGCCGGCACGGTAGATGGGCGTAAGTGTGGAGCCAAGCCCATCGTCCCTTCTCAGGATGAACCTCAGAGCACGTTTTTGGAGGTGCACCCCGCAACCCCGAGCTTCTTGGCTCTGGGCTGGTAAACGTCCGCCCCATTCGCGGCTGGCGTTGTCCACGATACAGTGATCTCAGATTTCGACCTCGGGATGCTTGCAATATGCCGTGTGGGGCATTTCTTGGAACTGCATTTTGTAGCTCTGAAGCCCTCACTGCGACACCAGCGTCACAGCTGCCGGCTGGTCTGGCAAGCCTTCCCATGGCCCGAGAGTTCCAACAGACATGGTCCAAGCAAGACAGCTTGAAAGCACGAGACCTGCTGCGACGAAGGTTGCGAGGTTGCTGAAGTCACTGGCCGACTGCTCGTGGTGCATGCGGATCCTAAAGATCAAGGTGGACAGGAGCACACAGACGAGCACTCCAAGCACTGCCGGGGCTGGGGCCGATAGCGGTAGGTCAATCCAGCGGTGACCGAGGTGTCCTAAGGTCGATGGCAGGCAAGAAGAGGAGATGGTCCCAAACAAAGGCGCGTCGCATATCAGTTGCCGCCCGAGGCTCCGAGTACGTCAAGTCCGGTGCGTCCACCTCTGCGAGCAGGGAGAAGACTCCGTCCTGTTCCGACGAGCGCCACAGAAATCCGGCTCCAACGGCCACAACTGCGCCGACCTGGACCTGACATGGCCTGGAGACGATTGGCAGCGCACAGGGTCTGTCTGATCTCCGTGCGAGGTGAAACGTTGCATAAGGCGTTTAAAACATGCGGAACGGTGTCCTCTTCACGCCGCTCCGAATCCTATCGATCTACCAAACATCGCTTGGGTCGCCGGTCCGCTTGGCGGCGCCGATCAGCAGCTGCAGTTGGCCATCCACCTCCCAGGCCACGTCTGGCTGCTGCGCCACCAAGCGCAAGGGCACCCCGCGGCCGCCGGAAATGCCCTCCGCTGCCGCCGCTGCCGCCGCGGCCGCCGCGGCCGTCGCCGCGGCCGTCCGCGCGGGCTCCGCGCGCTCGGCCTCCTGCTCCGCCCAGGCGGAGGGCGGGGGGATCTTGAAGCCATAAGGATCCATCGCCGCCGGGAGCGCTTGCAGCAGCAAGTGCGCGGCCTCTCCAGACAAGCAGAGCGGTTAACCGAAGGGTCGTGATTTTTGTAAGGGGGTGGCCGCACGGCCTCGTCCAGAGAGTCCTCGGAGGCATCGCCGGCAGCGACGCGCTTCGCCAGGATCTCCTCGGTGCAGGGAGCACGGAGTGAGCAGGGTGCCCTTCTTGTGGATCCTATAGGCTGGGCCGGCGGAAGTCTTCTCTCGGCCGAGGTGCTGCCTCGAAGTCCACGGACTGTGGTATCCGGCCGTCCACCTCCGTCCCACCAGCACTATTTGGTATTGCTCTAGGAGTTTATAAATTAAAGGATGCAGGATGACTGCACGCTGAGCGGCCGGTCTGCCATAGGCTCCTAAAGAGACACACAAAAGCGGAGCATGCAGGAGCCCCAGTCTCTGCGCAGCTCTGCGCAGCTCAGGTCGGCGCCAGGGGAGGCTTTGGAGACGGAAGGCCGCACGGGGCTGTCGGTCGGAAGGTCCTCTCAGAAAGCAGAAAAAGGGAAAGACTCGAGGGGGGTCAGCGCTAGAAGAGCTCCTGGGCGGAGATTCCGGACACCGGGCCTCAAAAAAAGAAGGAACCCACGCAAACTTCAAGGGAGGGGAGCAGAAGACCACCAAAAGGGCCCCTTCCTTGAAAGGCCCGGGCTGCTCTCGGCCTTGGGGCCTCCAAGGCCCTTCCGCGAGGAGACCGGCGCCTGCGCGAAGCCGCCGCCTTCCAGCTGCGCCAGGGCCGAGGGCATCTCGCGGCCGCCGCTGCAAGGAAGCCCGGGGAAGGCCTCGCGGGCTCGCGGGCGAAAGGAAGAAAGCTCTCCTCCGATCTGATAACAGACGCTCCGAATTTTCGATGTCGGCAAAAGGCGAAGAGGAAGCTGCACATTATTCCGACATGACAATGCTGCCCCCTGCCCTGTGCTGTGCCCTGCCTGCCGAGCACAGAGAGGTCGTCGAAGAGCCGTGGCCCCCGCGCGCTTCTTGCTTTGTTGCGCGCGTATATACGGAAGAGAGCGATGTAATGTAAGGGAGGGGAAATGATGGGTTTAGCTGAATTTTGGAGCTGCTTCGGAGTTTTTTGCATCTCTGACGGCTCTTGCCTTCTAGTCTTATAGTGCCGTGCTCACTGTGTAGACTCGTGGCATGTCCCGGAAAAACGGCCTCGAACAGACGTTGGACGTGGGCTTGCATGCACAACGCCAGAAGATCTCGGCCCTCTTTCGGCAGGCACTCACTCCAAGCCTGGCCATCGTCGCGCTGGATCTCCGTCTTCAGGATAGGCATGCCACCGTTGTCTGAAGGGAAAGGATTGGAGGCATGAACTGGTCCCTAGTACCCTCTGTACTGGACTACTGCTGTCGCGCCTGGCGGTGTCCACGTAAGGTTGATCATTGGCGGCACGGCAGAGGTGGCGGTGGCCAGGGGCGGCTCGGGCTGGTCTGGAGCGGCTGCTGCAGTGAGGGGCCCGAAGATGACCCCGCTCCGGCAGCCGCGCTTGTTGCAGGAGGCAACGAAGAAGTTGTACCTGCGGCCTGTCACCAATCCCGTGTACTTGTACTCGTTGCCCGATTCCGAGAGGTCGGTGTCCATCTCGAAGTAGTTCGTTGGGAGCACGTCGACACGGACGAAGTCACCTCCCAAGCCATCGTCGCGGTAGGGTTCGAAGCTGGTGACGGGGCTCCCACCGTCCCCTGGCGGCGGATCGAAGCGGAATGTCACACTCGTCCGTGCCTGAACCACCTTTTCTAGTGTCACGGTGTCCGGTACATCGGTGGTGGTGAAGAGCGCAATGCCACTTCGAGCTCCCGGCAAGGTGCAGTCGCCGTCGTTCACGCAAATGCCATCCGCGTCGTACTCGTGCAGCGAGTTCCCTGCACCATAAGGGCAGTCGGCGTGAGCCTGCACCTGGATGAGATAGTCCCGGCCCAGAAGCAAATCAGGCACATCAAATTGCGTGCGGGACATATCACAGACTGAGACTTGCGTGCTCAGGAGGCCATTCACCGTGCCATCGTTTCGATAGATCACGTAGCGGACGATAGGAGAACCTCCATCTGAAGGCGGGGGATCCAGTCCAATGGTGATGGATCCGAAGCCCGCGGTGACGAACCTCGGTTGCAATGGCGCGGCCGGCGGCTCGGCGGCCAGAAACGTGGAGATGTTGGTCCTGGAGCCTTCGCCCACGCTGCTCAGGGAGGTGACCTGATACCAGTAGCGCCTCCCCGGCACCAGCCCGGTGTGCTTGAAGGATCGGATCGATGGGCTGCCGGAGCCATCGAAGACCATCGCGAGCGCATCATCGATGCCAGTGTTGGCATAGACCCGGTACCCAGTAACCAAAGCGCCACCGGTCTCCGCTGCATCCGTCACAGGCGACCAGTGCACCTCGATGGCTGTCTTGCTGATTGGGGGGTCGTCGCGGGTCACCGAGGTGGGCGGATTCGGAAGGTCGGCTGCCGTTGCTACCAGGTAGGGTGACACGTCCGCGAAGTTGTCGTCCTCGACACCGTTGATGGCCAGCACTCGATACTTACACCGTCGCTGGGGACAGATGAAGGCCGTCGAATCGAGACAGGAGTCGAAATCCTCCGGCAGTGTCGTGAGGAAACTCCCGTCGGGCTGCTCGCACTGCACCGTGCCGAAGAAGTAGACGTCGTTGTTGGAGCGCTGTACCTTGTAGCCGGAGATGGGCATGCCACCGTTGTTCGTAGGAGGCACCCATTGGATTTCCTGCAAGAACTTGGGAGCAGAACAGCAGAAGCAACAGCAGAAGCAACTACGCGTGGCCACACCTAGGGGCAGGACACGTGCCATCTCAGATGCCGTCCCAGCTGCTACGGTGGAGAGTGTCGTCGACTTCAGCGTCGGCTGTGCCGGAGGGTAGGGGCGCCTGCACCCAGGAAGCGGATCCGAGCATTCCCCAACACCCAGAAAAAAAGGCATGCTGCCGCCTGGCACAGAACCGTGGCAGGGAGGCAGAAAGGCCAGATTCCCCCGCATCGCTGATGGCCGTCGCACGGAAGTCGTGCATGTTGCCTCAGATGGCTTGACAAGCCAGGAAAACATTGATGTGGCCTGTCGTGCCAAGATGCCTGTGGTGCACCCGGCCAGCGTGAAGGTGCGGACGGTGCTCACCCCCGCCCCGTCGTACTTGAGGACGTTATCGACCTGAGAGCCAAAGGGCAGAGAGAAGAGTTTTGAGTAAAGAAGAGAGGAAGATGCGACGAACGCAAAGGCCGGGCCCCCGGACGTACAACCGGAAGCCGGTGACCGTGAGGTCGGAGGTTGGGATGTCCCAGGCGACGGTGATCGTCGTTTCTGTCGACGTCACGAAACTCACGGTCGGCGCCGTGGGCACCGCGGCGGCTGGGATCGAGGACTCGGGGGAGAAGAAGGTCTCGCCCACGGAGACCAAGTTGAAGGCGGAGACGCGATAGATGTAAAAGGACCTTATAGATCTGTGGTCAACAAAGACAATTTCAAAACACGACAAATCTATGCAATGCATGCGCCATGCATGCTGCTCTCAAGAATTTTTAATAAACGATTCTTTTTTCCGGTGCCGAGGGACCGGGCCACCAGCTGGAAGGTGTCGACGTAGGTCGTGGAGGTGTAGCTGTCGGAGGCCGCCGTCAGGGAGATCCACTGCGCCGTCGGAGAGCTCTTCCGCTCAACGATGTAGCCCAGGATGGGTGAGCCTCCATTGTAGGGTGCCGCCCAGGAGATGTGAACCGCCGTCGCGGAGGTGGCTGCCCTGACATGGACAGGACATCAAACCCAAAGGCAAAAATTCAGACATCCCGCACCTAGAAAAACCTACACCCTAAAGGCCTGTCCACACCCGGTCGGCCAGGTGCATCCGGCTTGGAGGCCGCCACGATGGAGAAGATGTTGGATCGGGCGCCATCGCCTGTGGGGTTCACGCTCTGCACCTGGAAGCGGTAGGTGTGACCCGCCAGCAGCGCCACGGTTCCATCCGAGAAGACTGGGGCCCAGGAATACGACAACGTTGCGGCCTTCGTGCCTCCGTCCCAGATCAAGTTGTTGATGCCCCCACCGTTGCCATCATCTACCCAGACCTTGTAACCACTCATGCCCGAGGCACCCGTGAGCAAAGGCTTCTTCCATTGCAAGTCGATGCGGTAAGAAGACTGAAAGGTGGCCTCCACATCGAAAGGCTGCCCTGCCACGTCCGAGGCCGTCAATGTGATCCTCTCGCTCCGGGGACCCTCGCCAGCAGCGTTCACGGCTGCGACGGCAAAGCGGTAGGGGTTGCCGGGAGTCAGAAACTCAAAGAACTCCGTGGTGGTGGTGCCTGAGGCCGTGTTCTTGGAAATCTCCGTATATCCGTCATCCATGTAGAGACGGTAATAGATCAGAGACGAAGTGCCGATGTCCTCGGATATTCTGGGACAGTTTGGGGGGGAGGCTCATGCATGCTCTGGGGGGACTCCAGGGTCCCTCCTGCCCCGCAGACACGCGCTCTGCAGAAGAGCCACGGTGACAGCATCCCAGGCAAGGGAGATCTTCTCGTTGCTTTGGTCTCCTGCAATTTCGGCATCTCAGCTTCGGCGCCCCCCCCTTTTCACAGCGGCTTCGCTCAAAAAAGGGCTCCCGGCCTGAGCGCCGCAGGTTCAGAGGCGGTGAGCCCGGCTTCCGGAACTCGCAGCAGACAACTGCCGTGACGTCGCTGAGGGGACTCTGCCCGATGCGGCTCCAGTAGGAGGTTTGGAACAAGTACCTCAGCTCCGCTCCAGCCCAGCTCATATGTCAAAAAAGAGATAGCTCTCTATAGAACGCTGCCTTCTTCTCTGCCGACAAGCCGCTGCCTTCCCTCCACGAGGCCACCTATCATCAGCTCCACCATGGACGTACCATCCATGTCTCCCTCGTACGTGAAGCGCAGGACCCCGCCAAGACCATCATTGCGGTAGAGGGTGTAGCCTGGCATCGATGCACGGAGGGCGAAGACCCTCCATCTAAAGTCTAAAAAGGCGTCCACTCTGCGGTCCAGTCGCGGATAGTGGGAGACCAACCAGAGGCGGCGCCCGTCAGAGGCGTGAAGCGGAAGGTCATGCTGCCCGAGGCCGTGTTGATGAGCAACGCAGGGTCCGGCCTTTACAATACGGAACTGCATGCAGCACACACTACACACACCTTTGCTTCCCTTTTGCATCTTTTACGCTAAGAGCTGCCCATCCTTTCTGCTTCTCCCGGGGCCGGGGCTTGATTGGGGGCACGGAGGGCTGCGCAGAGATGGTCACCGGCTCGCCATCATCGCCGTTCACGGCCATGAGCCTGAGAAGGCAGCATGAAGGCAACCGGCAATTCCATCTGCGAGGAGCGCATGTCATGCGCGTGCGCGTGCATGGCACAGACTTTGAGAAGCTCTATATACGACGTGCCACCTCTCATATGGGGAGAGTCCTCCATGCACAATCATTCAGGTCTCTTCAAGCTTGGGTGCCTGTAGTAGTAGACCAGACCCGTCACGAGCCCCGAATCCATGTAGGAGAAGGTGTTCTCATCCGTGGTAGCCATCAGGTTGTCGATGGCCCCACCCATGCCGTTGTCCCGGTAGAGCCGGTATCCCAGGATGGGCTTGGCACTGCTGTCTTGCGGCGGAACCCAGGACCTGAGGCTGGGGGCAGTCGCAACAGTCGTGACACCCTCAAGGCGGTTTGTGTCCAGAAGAAGGGAGGAAGAAGGCGGGGGACTCTCTCCTGCTGGCTCAGAGAAGTGGCAGCTGGTTGACGTCGTACTGGAAGTCGTGGTGGTAGAAGGCCTCCACGGGTCCTCATGGCGCGCTCGCTCACAGCCCCCCCCCCCCAAAAAAAAAAAA